AGCCCCAGCTGTCCTAGAACTAGTTATATAGACTAGACTGGTCTTGATCTCACAGAGGTCTGCCTGTACTTGCCTCTTGAGTGCTGGGACTAAAGTCTTACACCACCTGTCTTTCTCTTTTCTGAGATGGGAGCTTCCTATGTTGCTAAGCCTAGTTTCAAATTCCTGAGCACAAGTGATCCTCCTGCTTTAGCCTCCCAAGCATGTGGTACTATAAGACTGTGTCTCCACTCCTGCCTTTAAGTTTTTTTAAAAATTAAAATGAAATTCAAAGCTGGGTAAGGTGGTTCATATCTGAAAATTCTAGAAATTGGGAGTCTGAGGCAAGGAGAATTGTCATGGGGACAGCCTGGGCTGCATAATGAGTTTGAGGCTAGCCTGGACAAGAGAGTGTGAGCCTGAATCAAAAAACCCAAACAAATAAAATAAAATAAATTGCATAAAATTACCCATGTAAAGAATTCAGTACATTTTGTACATTTACACTGTTGTGCAACTACCACCTACATCTAATTCCAAAACATTTTTGTCACACAAAAGGAAACCCTATATCTATTAAGCAGTTATCTCTTATCCGCATGGCTGGTAACAACCAGTCTGTTTTCTTGCCTATTCTATTGCATAAAACAGTATTATGTAATATGTGGCCTTTTGTGTCTGACTTCTTTCACTTGGCATATGTTTTTCAAGGTTCTTTTTCTGGTCGAATGATTCAACTGTATGTATACACCACAGTTTTTTTGTCTATTCATCTGTTGGTAGATGTTTGGGTTCTCTCTTCCTTTTGTTACTGTGGCTATGGCTGCTTGGGAACATGCTTGCACATGCATTTGTTTGAGCACCTGTTTTCACATCATTGGGGTGTATGCTCAGGAGTAGAACTGCTGGATCAGGTAGTGAACTGCTGGATCAGGTAGTAAATCCTGTTCCACTTGAGGAGCCACCAAACTGTTTTCCGCAGCAAGTGGACTATTTTACATTCCTACTAGCAGTGCTTGAGGGCTTTGCTGACACTTGTTATTGCCCATTTCTTTATATTATAGTCACGCTAGTATGTATATAAAATGGTATCACATTTAGTTAAAATTTCTTTTTCTTTAATGATTAATTGTGCACATTTTGTTCATATACTATTGATAATTTGTGTATTTTTTGGAGCGATGTCTATTCAGTCTTTTGTATTGTTTATCTTTTTGTCCTTGACTGATAGAATTTCTTCATATATTCTAGATATTAGACCTTTATCAGGTACATGATTTGGAGATGTTTTTCTCATTTTGTAGATTGCCTTTTCAGATAACTGTAGATGTTGTTCTTTGATCTACCTATATGTTTAACCCCTTTGCATTAAAGACATGCTTATTTAGTGCAGGACTTGACTTTGTCTTTTCCCTCCTAGAGGCAGAATTATAGTAATGGTCCCCATGGAGATGCATTCCTGGCTCAGTTAGTGGCAGGTCTCTTTCAGCTGTCCAGCCCTGAATGCCCTAGGTGACAACCGTGTGTTCCTTTACCATGCATACAGTTGTCAGTATTATTTATAAAACACCTTCAGAAGTTAGGCTTGTCTTGTAATCTCTTATTTTTTTAAATTTTGTTTATTATTTTTATTTCATGTATATGAGTGTATCACCTGCATGTATATGAGTGAACCCATGTCATGCAATGCAGTGGAGTTCAGAAGAGGGTTTCAGATTCCCCTGGAACTGGAGTTAAAGATGGTTTGTAGCTGCCATGTGGGTGCTGGGAATCGAATCCAGGTCCTCTGCAAGAGCAGTCAGTGCTCTTAACCACTGAGCTATCTCTCCAGCCCCCAATCTCTTGTTTATTTTATTTTATTTATTTTATTTTATTCGTGTGTGTGTGTGTGTGTGTGTGTGTGTGTGTGTGTGCTCACGTGTGTATGTTACAGGGTCTCTCTGTAGCTCCAGCTGGCTGGAACTTGCTGGGTAGACCTGGGTAGACCAGCCCATCCTCAAACTCACAGAGATCCACATGCCCCTCCCTGCCTATGCCTCCTGAGTGCTGGGTTAAAGGCATGCACCACCACCTGGTTCTAATCTCTCTCTCTCTCTCTCTCTCTCTCTCTCTCTCTCTCTCTCCTCCCTCTGCTCTCTATCTATCTACCATCTATCTATCTATCTATCTATCCTGTCTATCTATCGATCTATCTATCTATCTATCTATCCTGTCTATCTATCGATCTATCTATCTATCTATCTATCCTGTCTATCTATCGATCTATCTATCTATCTATCTATCCTGTCTATCTATCTATCTATCTATCTATCTATCTATCTATCTATCTATCCATCCTTTCTATCTATCTATCATCTATCTATCTTTTTGAGACAGGGTCTCCCTCTAGCCCCAGCTGCCCTGGGACTTGCTATGTAGACCAGGTTGGCCTCGATCTCACAGAGATCCATCTGCCTCTGCTGGGACTAAAATGTGTATGCCACCACACCTGGCTTAAATCTCTTATTTTTTTAAAGTTATTTTTGTGTTTGTGTGTTATGAGTTCATGTGTGAGTGTGCACATGCCATGGCATGTGTGTGGAGGTCAGGACAACCTGGGGTGTTAGTCCTTGCATTCAACCTTGTTTGAAACAGAGCTTCTTATTTGCTGCCACTGCCTATTCTAGGCTAGCTGGCCCATGTGCTTCCAGGTGATTCTACTGTAGGTTTCAGCTTCCCATCTTGCTGTAGGAGTGCTGTGGTTACTGACTTGCCCCCACCATGTCCACTGTAACATATGAACCCTTATGTTTACTTACATAAGGACAAGGATACTTTACATAAGGACAAGGATACTCATTTAGTTGTGTTGAGTTTCTTCACGGAAAGCCTTAACATAAAGGTTCTGACGAATTATTTACTTTTTTCTGCTAATCTATTTTTTTCAAGATTTAAAAAAATTATAAAAGAGACGCATGGCCACAGTAAAATATATGAAAATATTAAAGTTTGTAACTGGTCAGTGTGGTCTTAACACATATGGAGTTGGGAAAAATTGCAACTTGAGGACAACAAATGTCTGAATGTTTATCAAAAGTTATAAATCAAACTCTTTATCTTTGTCCAGCCACATGCCTGTGCTGTATGCTGAGCTCCCAGAAGCCTAAATCCTCAAGAGTCAGGGCTAAAAACCTGCTTTCTCCTGGCAGCCAGCCCTTTTACCTCCCAGTCAGAATGGTAGAATGGATCTGTTGAGGGAATGCAGGGATGAGTTTGGTGTCTGGAATCACTAAAAAGGTTATTTAAACTGATCCAAGCCCCCAGAATTCCATAAAATAGAGGAGGTTCATTTTCCAGTTCCTGGTTCTTTCCGACTGAAGACTTCAGCAAGCTGTAAGCCCTTCCCCAAATTTCACTACCCAAGAAGTTAGGAGGATGACAAACCATCATCCAGAAGACAGCTTGGCTTGCCGAGGCAGTTACTTTGATTGGTTTAGGATAGTCAACTGAGGAAAGCTTAATGAATAGCTTTTCTTCCTTGGATTTTCATGTCAGAAGTTGTGATGATGATTCCTTCATTCCAAAACATTCTGGGGCACCCTCTAAGTTTTTATTCTCCAGCCTGTAGGATATTATTTGTTTAGTATTCCTGTATTTTCAAGGTAACTTGCTTATAAAATTGAAAGGGGGAAAAGGTATGTTTTAGTGCTTGTGGTATACAAGTCCTCTTGGCTCCTGATGGGAGCATCTCTTGCCCATGTCTAAAGGTGATACAGGTTGAAAATCTCTTATCTCACATACTTAGGACCACAGGCATTTTAGATTTTGAATTTTTTAGATTCTTGAGTATTTACACACTTATACATATATAATGAATTATTTTGGATGAGATTCAAGTTATTTATTTATTCATTCATTTATTTAAAGGCTATTTTGTATCCCAGACTGGCCTCAAACTTGTCAAGATGCTAAGGATGACATTGAAGTTCTGATCCTCCTGCCTCTACCTCCCAAGTGCTGGGATTATAGGCATGCCCCACCACACCCAGTTGAAATTCAAGTTTAAATACTATTAATTTATGTTTCATGTATTCTTTGTGCACATAGCCTGAAGATAGTTTTATATAACATTTAAAATATTTTAGTGTAAGAAATAGTTTTATAATATGGAATTTTCTACTTATAGTGGCATGTCAACACTCAAAAAGTTTTAGTTTTTAGGGCTGGGGATAAGGCTCAGTGGTTATGAGTATGTGCTATGTGCTGCTTTTTCAGAGGTTCATTTCCTAGCACCCACATTGAATGACTCACAACTGCCTGTAGCTCCAGCTCCAGGGGCTTTGATGCCCTCTTCTGGACTCTGAGGGTATTTGTACTCTTATGTGCTGCACATATCCACACAGAAACATACATATACACATAATTAAACAAACCTTTAGAAACAGTTCTCGTTTTCAGAGCATTTCAAGTTTCTTCTTCCTCTCACCCTCCCCCTCTCTTCCCCTTCCCCTCTCCTTTCCCCTCCCCCTTTCTCTCTCTCTCTCTCTCTCTCTCTCTCTCTCTCTCTCCCCCTCTCTCTCTCTTTCTCTCTCTCTCTCTCTCTCTCACACACACACACACACACAGGGCTTTTATGTGGGTGCTGGGGGTTTGAACTCGTGTCCTCATGCTTATATAGCAGGTGCTTTACTGACTGAGCCATCTTGCTAGCCCTTGTTTCAGGATTTTGAATTGGGAATGCTCAATATCTGTTGCAGGGGCAGGGAAGTGGCCATAGACAAGAAGTCCTTTTCATTTCCTGTTATCCTCTGTTTTCATCGTTTGAATATTTGTTTTATTTTATAATTTCTAAAACTGTTATCTCTTGGGATGTATTTATCTGAAAAGCAATCCCCAAATAAAAATGGATATATTCCAAAAGTTTTTTTAAAAATAAAATATTAACTAACAATGAACTATTCATCCCCACCCCCTCAATTCTTTCCTAAAAGGCCAGACTTGTAGATTTGAACACTAACTTAAATATTATACATTCTTTCCAGGTGTGAAAGCTGTGTGGATTTACTGTTTGTGAGAGGAGCTGGGAACTGCCCTGAGTGTGGCACTCCACTCAGAAAGAGCAACTTCAGGGTACAGCTCTTTGAAGATCCCACTGTTGACAAAGAGGTTGAGATTCGCAAAAAGGTGCTGAAGATGTAAGTATTTATATTTTCACAATTTATTCCTTTGCTATTGTTTAATTAACAGATAAATACTGTTTGCACTGTGTTATGCATATTAGCAGTAAATAAGAAATGCTGTATAAAATATATGTAAACCCTGGTCTCATGAGGCTTGCTCGTAAATCATAGGGCAATAAAGAGATAGAAAATAAAATAGGCAAACAAAATAAATTTACTATGAAGATTGAAGAGGTAACATTTAAGTTGAGATTTAAAACTTATTAGAGAAACCAAAATGTTAGCTATAATTTATTTTTACATATATATGGGTATAGTTTTACTATTTGTTAGTAATTTTGAGTTTCATCTTGTTTTTTTTATTATAAGGGACTATTATTTTAAAATTAATAAGTTTTCTGGAGGTTTTCTTTAATGGTGTTGGGGATTGAACCCAAGGACTTGGGCACGCTAAGCAAGTGCTTCACCACTGAGCTACTCCCCCAGCCCATTGCTTTAGTTCTTTTATTTAAAAATTTATTTTATTTTAAAGTTAGGTGTATGTGTATGTGTGGGAGTAGGGTATGTGCACATGAGTTCCAGTGCCTGTGGAGGCCAGAGGTGTCAGATCACCCTGGAGCTGGAGTTGGAGGTGGTTGCGAGCTGCCTGATGTGTTTGCTGGGAATCAAACTTGGTCCTCTATAAGAGCAGTATGCATTCTTACCATCTCTCCAGTTCTTATTATTTTTTGGCATAGATTTCATTTTAGTGGTTTAGTAACATCTTCTTAGGTACAAACCAATAATTATTAAATAATGTCTCAGCCGGGTTTTATTACTTGCATCACTTTGAGGAGTCATCTTTTATACCATTCTGATCTTTTATCTTTAACATTTTTGGTTTTGTTATTCTTCACAATACATTGTAATAGTTACAGATTTTTGTGACCTAATGCTCTTTAGGCTATAACTGACATGAGAACTAATTTTTGAACTAATTTTTAGTTTTCTGGAAATTAATGACTATAATAAGTAAATAATATAATTTTCAATGATATACCTTATTTAAGTTCACTTCCAAATCATTGAAGCACCTAATTTCTTTTTCCCTTGAGTCTTTTAAGGATTGTGCATGTGGTCTCAGTCTCTCCTGATTCTACATCTCTGGGAACACAAGAATTTTAAGAACTAGTGTTTGGGGGCTGGGAACATAGCCCAGTGGTAGGACACATGCCTGTCAAGTGCAAAAAATCCACTCTCCTCTCCCCAAAAGAACCAAAACCCTAGCCAGCATTCTTGGTCTAGCTATAAACCTGAGGTCAAGAAAACAGTGTTTTATGGAATAAACAATCTTTTTCTATGCATTGTGTATGAATTAGGTAAGAATGAACAAACCAGTTGCTTATGGATTGCAATGATATATAATACTTAATGTTTTTCTTCTCTTTAAGATACAATAAAAGGGAAGAAGATTTTCCTAGTCTAAGAGAATATAATGATTTCCTAGAAGAAGTGGAAGAAATTGGTATGTTTTTAATATGATAGGCTAACCTTGTGCTTTTATTTTTAAGATGCCCAAAACGTCTGACACAAAAGTCTCCTAACAGCTTCTGTTGTGATAGCTGGTGTGTACCAGATTGCTTTCTTTTGCATTTGAGTTATGCTTGTTAAATTTCAAGCATACTTAGTAAAGGATATTCTTAAGTAATTTTGTCTTAGGAAAAATATGATTAGCAGAGGTAGTAACATTTTTTTTAATTGGGAAGACAGGTATATCTGCATGTATCACTTGTACTAAAGTAGTTTAAACAAAAGGAAATACTTTGATTTGTTTTGTAGGATTTCTGTTAACTATCTATGATGACTACGGCCTAATGCTGTTTATCATAATTTATGCTTCTGTAGCCATAGCAGATTGGGATAGTTTGAAGCGGTTGACCATTGAAGCAGCACTGGATTAGCAAGTTTGGCAGTCAGAGGTTAGAGTACTGTTAGTGATTTTTCTTTTTGATGTGATTAGTCATAACTGTGCTTTTCTTATATTGTTTCTGCTTGCTTTCCCTTCTTCCCTCCCTCCCTCATTCCTCCTCTTTCATTGTTGTGCTAGGGATTTATCCCTGTTTCAGTTTTGTTAAATAAAATTTCAGAGATGTTAAAAAATTTGGAAGTTGTTATAATTGATTAAAAAATAATGTTTTTTTGCCGGGCGTGGTGGCGCACGCCTTTAATCCCAGCACTTGGGAGGCAGAGGCAGGCGGATCTCTCCATGAGTTCAAGGCCAGCCTGTTCTACAGAGTGAGTTCCAGGACAGCTGGGCCTACAGGGAGACCTTGTCTCAAAACGACCGAAAAAAAAAAAAAAAGTGTTTTTTAAAGTTGCAATAATTAGGGCTAATAGGATGACTTTGGTGCATGCTTGTCACCAAGCCCGATGAGCTCAGTCCCTGGTATCTACATGGTGTGACGAGAGAACTGACTCTGGGAAGTTCTTCTCTGACCACAGTAGTGTACTGTGGAATGCATGCATGGCATGCATGAGTCCACACAATAAATAAATAAATGTAAAAAAATCTCTTGACATAATTATTACGAAGTACAGGTTTGGAAATGACATAAGGGTTGTAGGCTGTGAAAATTAGAATGGAACTGTGAGGATTAAGCAGTCATCTTTTTATCATCCCAAATTTATTAGGCAATTATAATCTTTAGGGAGTGATCAGAGGCATGCAGATCTCTGTGAGATTGAGGGCAGCCTGGTCTACATAGCAAGTTCAAGACCAGCTTTGGCTATAGGGAGACCCTGTTTCAAAAGATAAGAGTATTCTTTAGAAGGTTTTTATATGTGGTAAATTAAAAAAAATTTCCTTATGAATATTATAATTTTAAATAAAACTTTATTTTTAAAGAAAGCCTAGATATCTTCTTATCAGGGCTTCTCTGAAATGTGAAAGTTCATTTGTTATGCTGTCATAGAATATGTTCAGAACATAGTTTAGGACTTTTTTAAATATATATTTGAGTACCTTAGAGCTGCTGCTTTTTCATTTCAAGCACACACATATTGTGCTTTGTATATAATATTAGCAACCATGAGGACCTATGGAGGTAACTGAGAAGATGGTAGAATTGGCAATGCCAAATGCAAAGCGGATCCAAGATAGAGACCGAGAAGACACACCAAAAAGAAGCCTGTAAGAATTGGGCAAGTAGATAGGCATATAGAAACCTGGTCACCCACAGGTATTAAGTATAGGACAAGCAGAGGATTAGCAGTCAAGAAGAAACACAGTTACATGTAATCTAAAGACAGTGTGCTTAGTCAAAAGTCTGGTGATAAAGGGGAATAAAAAAATAAAATAAAGGGAAAATAGGTTATAGATATTATAGGGCAAGTTGAATACATGGTTACTGTTCCACCCAAGCATTCTAAGTAGTTAAAGAAGTTGAAGGACAAAGAAAGTGAGGAAACAGGTTTCAGTATGAAATAGCACGGGAACCTTGATTTTGGAATGAGGTTCTGATTGAGCCAGATTTTAGACTATTTATATTTTTCCATATGAAATGAATTAATTTGAAGGTACAGGCAGCCTGGGGCCCATTAGTGAAAGTCCAGAAGTGGGGACTAGTATCAACATGACAAAATAAGCCTGGGTATTAAGTTTGCAATATGAAATACTTTTTTTCTCCTTTAGACCAAATCTTGATATGTGGCCCTGGGTGTCCTGATACTTGTTATGTGGACCAGGCTGGTCTTGAACTGGCAATGATCTTCCTGCCTCAGCCTCCCAAAGTTACACATGTGCATAATCACATCTAGCCTGTAATAGTTTCTTTGTGTGCATGTATATGTGGTTATATGCATGTGTGGGTGGGCATGGGCATACTCATCCAGGTGCATGTGGAGGCCAGCTGTATGTCTGTGTTATTCTTCACTCTGTGTTTTGTCATGGTCTCTCACCCTGGAGCTCACTGATTAGCTAGACTGTATCTCAGTGCTGGAATTTCAGAGGTGCACTACTATGCCCTGCTTTTTATGCACAGCAAGCACTTTACCAATTGAGCCATCTTCCTAGCCCTGTAATACTTAAGTTACCAGATATAGAAACTGTAGTTCATGCATTTAATTTGAAAATGATTATGCTATTATATATATTTCATGAAGGTATGTCTTTAACGTACGTACAAATCCCTTGAACCAACCTCTAGTTAACTGGAACAACTGACATTCCCCCTGCCCTTCTATAGAATGTTCTGACTCATGCCAAAGCGTAATGATGCAAGGTAAATGCTTTCCATTAAAAGCTGTCCTCCAGTATGCCTCTGTTCTGCCCTCCAGTTCAGTTATACACCATGAGGTATTTGTATCAGTGACCAAGCTTCCTTAAGGCAGTTGTGCTTATTATTCTTATGCAATTTAATACAATAATGTATAAGGCTGGGAAGAAACTACAAAATTATATGATTCTGCTTTTCAAATGCTGCTAAAAAAAAAGGAAAACAGCACTGTAGGTGGTAGTTATCATTTATATAAGAAAGATGCTGAACTTCAATTAAAGACTAAACATTGGCTGTATGTTATTAGAAAATCACTGCTGTATTTATTAGTCGGGGTTCTTTAGAGGAACAGAACTGATAGAACGAATACATACGCAGAATCTGCTTACATCAAAATTGTAAGAACAGCTGTCTCACAGTAGAGAGACTGAGATCCTGGCACTTGCTCAGTCCTTGTGGTTGGGTGCCTCACAGCTGGAGTAGTTCCACAGTGGTGTTCTCACACTGGAGAGACCTAGAACCTGATAGTTGCTCAGTTCACAAGGCTAGGTACCTCAGCAGTCCCAGTCTGAGACCCAACACCTGGAGGGTTCCTGGAGATCTGTTGGTCTTCAGTTAGCAATGGCTTCTGGAAATGCTGGTTTTCATATCAGTAATCAGCAAGAGCGGCAGCAGCAACAGGGTGGATTAATTCAGTGGCAGGAAGTTAGGCCGTGTGAGCAAAAGATGAATTATCTTCTTTCATGCCCTTTTATCTGAGCAGCTCCTTCTGGTAGCGCATTTGGGTTGGGTCTTCTCACATCAGTTAAGGCAATCAGGATAATTACTCAGGTTTAGCTTCCTGCTGTAATGATTCTAATTTGTAGCAAGTTGACCTTAAAAACAATCCTAAACACATATTTACAATATATATACAATATACAATACTCTCTCTCTCTCTATATATATATATTTTTAATTAAAATAACCAGGAGGGAGGGAGGTAAGAAGGAAGAGATAAGGAGAGAATGTTTCCCTCCTTAGTAGACTTCCCAAGCAATCAGCTGAGTCTTGCTCATTGGTTAAAGAGTGGTTCTACTGTATTTTAAGATACTGAATATTTTTAGATCCTAGACTCATTTCAACAAATATTTATTGTCATATGTAAAGTATTTCACTGTTGTGAATATATTTGTCTTCAATGAGCCTAGACTTTAAAAAGGTAGATAACTATATGTAGTATTATGCAAAAGTCTTATGGTATTTATAACGTGGTATGGGAATGGAGATAAGAAAGCAATTTGGCCATAGTGATGCACGCCTGAAATCCCAGCACCTGAGAGGTAGAGGTAGAAGAATCAGGAGTGCAAGTTCAGCTGAGGCTACATAGTGACTGAAGCTAGCCTGGGCTACATGAGATCCTGTACCCCCCCCCCCCAAAAAAACAAACTAAAAACAGGTAAGAAAGTAATTAACTCAGCTTTGGGAAATAGTATAGTTTTGTGAAGTTCAGAGAAGTGATAACATTTGAGTTTGGATGAGTTGGAGATGAATTGGAGTTACCAGAGGCTGGGATGCCTATAGATGAGCTGGAAATGGAGAGGACAGCTAAGGGACACAAGAGTACAGTTGGGTAGGGGGAGTAACTTACAGTATTCTACGGAACGGTAAAACAACTGTGGCTGACGATTACAAATTGCAAAATTGTGGAGAAGATTTTGTATGTTCCCCAGACAAAGAATAAATGTTTCAGCTGATTGATATGTCCATTTCTGTGATCCGATCATTAAATACATGATTTGAAATAACACTTCACCCTATAAATATGTATAATTATTATAGGTCAACTAAAAATGAACTTAACATGGTTGTTTATACCTTTAATCTCAGCACTCAGGAGGCAGAGGCTGATTTTTGTGAATCTGAGGTTAACCTGGTCTACAGAGTGAGTTCTAGGTCAGTTGGGGCTACATAGTGAGACCTTGTCTTAAAACAGAAAATGGAGGAAGAGGAGGAGGATGAAGGTCAGGAGGAGGAAATATACAACTAGCTAACCAGTGAAGAGGTATATGTAACAAAGTTTAACATTACTAATTATCAGGGAAATGCAAATTAAAATTACAATTAGATACCATACCTGTTAAATAGTCTTGATATGAAAAGATAACATGTGATGGATGTTAATCAGCTTACTGTAGTAATTCTACATGTATATGTATATCAAGCTTGCATTGTACCTCATACATATATACAGTTATTTTTTAAATTTTAT